TCGTCGAGGACGCGAAGGTCTACGACAGTTGACGAAGCAAAGTTTCAAGTTCTTGTTAGATGACAACGGACGGGAATACGTTTCAATGACCCATGACGGGGCTACTAATTAGGAACCATGCAAGGGGGATTGAAAAACGCTTCCCCGCCGGCAATAGACTAACTTATGACCATTCGTAGGTGGTGTAAAAACTGCAAAGCAGCAAGGATGGAGCTTACGATGGAAAACTCCGATTTCGGACTTGTAAAGGCTGTCTGTGTATCGGATTTTGTTTCTATGAGAACCTCCCTGCTATCAAATAATATATTTATTTTCCACTGACAAGTCATTTTCAATAGAAAAGTCCAATCACGGAAGTCAAGTTTTCGTTTTTGAGTGACATTTAATATAACAAAGGCAAATCCTTTAAAGTATGGGGTGACATTAGCAATGTTTTAAATTCCACACTTTCTTCCAGACTTCCTTCATTTTTTAGAAACTAAAAAGTGAAGAAAACGAAACAACGATTTAATTTCATTCTTTAAGTTGGACGCGTAGCTTGAACGAATTGAACGAAATATGTGATATAATTGTTTTGTCTTTTAACTTTGTATTTATTTAAGACAACAGCTGTAAAAATCTTTAGTTCTGTGTGGATTAATTCTTTTCTGCTTAATATGCAGATAAATGCGATCATTTTCTAACAGAGTAAAGGGACAATCAACATTCAGGTACTAAACATAAGAGCTTTATTACTTTCAGTTGTTTTCCTATATATTAGTTTAATTCAATTCCCTCTCGCTTCCTATACTCTAGAAAAATTAGGTTTAAAAGCAATAGGCATTTTTTTGGTTGATGACAAAGAATCTTCTTTGGCTGCACAGATGTCGATACTTTTGATAAATTTATCACAGTATTTATTCCGAACTATTCTATCTCCCGCATGGTTTGCATTTTTTTCTTAGTGTTTGTGATTCTCATGTTATTCCTTTGATGCATATTACGCCGTCGTTTTCTGCGAAACAGAGACACGGAATAACTGAAACATGAATATTTTCTTTCATCACTTTTTATTATTTCTCAGAATTAAATTTTTCCTTACCAAAGCCGGTATATTTTCAGCAATAAAAATAGTAAGAGTTAAGGATAATGATCGACATAGAAAAGGTCGCAATTCTTCGATATATAAGAATGTGTGTTTTGTGATGATACTTTACAATGGAAATGCAAATTTTACCGAAAAGGAAACATGTTTCTTTTGCGTTTTTCCAAGTTTGACGTAAATTTGAAAGTCAAATGAACGAAAATTAGACTTGAAGCAGTCAGTTTGTAAATTATAAAACAATGATATTCACAGAGTAACGGACATACACTTATTAAAAATAAAATTTTACCACTCATTAAGAAATTGTAAAACAACAGACGAAAAAGAAATTAAAGCAGTCTATCTGTGAGGAAAAAAAAAGTCCTAAATCTGTTATTCTTTTTACCTGAATATATAGATAGCGCATAATGCATACAAATCTTTTCTTCTTATGTAATTTCTTTGATGATATGCCATGAAACAATTATTGCAAAGCGCAATTTCTCCTTCTATCTTCAATATGTGTAGAAACTAAAGCTGATTGGCTTTGAGAATAACGAGACTGGTTAGACCTCAAAACTGCAACTCTAACATTTCTCCTGCTTTTCTACATCTAAAAATTATAAAATACTTTAAATAGTTTCTTGCGACGTTCGCACCATAAACGATATAAAAAGATGACTTATGCATTTCAAAATTATAGGAAAGAGATCGAAACGTCTGTCCTTTAAAGAGTAATGGCTGTTCTCTTGCCAATAAGAACAAGTAGTGACGGTTTTGGAATTATCAATGAATTTTGAAATTGAGGAATAACATAATTATTTTATTACGAGCTCTTTTTATCTAAAGGCGGCGAGCTTTCCTTCTTTTACTGCTAGATATCTACACTATCAGTACAGATGTCGATCCTGTTTATGTATTTATGCTCCGTGTTCTGCTTAAATATAGCTTGTAAAATATTTTTCCACAGCAAAGTATGTTTAATCAAGATGATTCCTTTCCGTTTTTGACCAGAGTATCTGTGACTGATGCCCTAGATGTGCATTTTACGCCTAGCTAGCTGTCAAAACAAGGACAACACAAAATGAGGGAAAATTGAATAAACTCATGATAAAACTTTATCTAACTCATCAAAATCTCATTTCCCCCCACTAACATCGCTATATTGTCAAGAACAATGGTGTTGAGAGGTTTGGAAAACGATGAACTTGATCAAATAAAAAATTCAAATAATACTTACGTCAGAGAACAAAACAAGAAGCAGGCAGCTTGCAAGAGACAAGAAAAAAGTAACAGCTGATTGGTGGATAAAAGGATAACTAATCTACAACGCAAGGATTTCAATTTATGTCTTTCAAAATTCTAAAGATATTATAATTTTTTTTTTTGCGTCAGAGGATAGAAAACTCTACAGACGGAATGAGAGGCAGTTTGTTGATAAGAAAGAGAATTCATACCATGCTGCCCATTCTTTTCGCTTCATATGAAAAATACAGGATACGAATATAATATTTCAATTTGCGCAACTGTTGGGATTTTTTTCAGCGTTTGAAAAGAAATAAAAAAGTACCGTTATATTTGTTTAGAGGTTGTAAAGCACCAAACAAGGTATGGAATGTGGAGAGTTCTCCTTT